ATAGCTCCTCCCAGCGAGTTTGCTCGATTACCTGTGAATCTGAACACACAGTTATTTTCAAACTGAAGAACAGATGTTCCGTACATCGCAATGGCTCCACCTTTGTGCGCCGTATTATTGATGAATTCAACAGTTGACCCTTTGCGAAAATCCAGCACACTATTAGAAGCATGAACTGCAGTTCCCTTATTGTTCCTAAACATTACTCTTCCTTCAAATCGAACTGTAAACTGAGTTGAAGATAAGGTGCCATACCCAAGAGACGTAACTCTTATATTGATCCCTTTTACGTATGACAGTTGGGACTCAAGAGCTGAGTTGTTCTCAAAGGTACAGTTTACAAACCTTGGGACTGGCAAACATCCTTCTTGGGCATAGTCCCAGATACCAGGTGTCATAAACACTGCAGCTCCCATAGGAGATGTATTTGTGATCCAGCTGCCTTTGATGAATTGTATTTCACCATAACTATAAGGGCAAACGTTGTCCTTTGAGGCAAAGATTATCACTCCGCCGCCTTTGTTACTCTCAAAGGTACAATTGTGGCAAACAAACACATTGTTATGGGGTAATTTCTCATGTATGTGCGACTTGTCATAGAACATGAGGCCTATTACAAGTCCAGCACTGCAGTTGGACTCATGTGTGCAGTGGTTTTCAATAAACTTCGTGTCATAGACTAATATTCTTGTGTTCTGAGCAGAGTTTAGGAATTCAGTCAGCATTGCACCGCCCACTAATGTGGCAGAGTTGTTATGAAACGTACATTTTTTGAGGATAAACGTGTTATTAGTTGAATCTGAGCCAATACTGATATACAATCCTCCCCCCTTCCCATTTCTTGGCACAGATAAAGGATTGGAAGGCGATATTACCGTTTCTTTCTCCAGGAGTATGGCGGCAACGTTGTTGGAAAATGTACAATTAGTTATAAAATATCTGCTGTTGCTTATTCCTTTATGATAGTAACAATGGCTTACAAATCCTGGACTGCAGAATGTAAATTCTATATACAGACCACCGCCTCCCGTTTGAGTTGAGCTGTTTGCGTGATTGTCGTGAAATATGCAGTTTGTAATACTAACCGTTCCATTGGTGTCATACATTGAGAGACCCCTGCCATTTGATGAAAAAATTTCCACATCGTAAATGGCTACATCGGCACACTTGAGGATGTATACAGCAACGTCCAAACACTCAGTCGTGTTATTCTCAGGGTTTACATTAGTGCTGTTCCTTTCTGCTCCACACTCCTCGATTGAAAGTGACTGAATAACTAGATCGTGGATACCAATGAAAGCAACCCCAGCGTTGGTCTCAGGACAGCCAATAGTTGACTCATTTCCAGATATCCCGAGGTGCTGAAACTCTGTAAATTCCACTGCTTCTGTTAGGTTCAGCCACTCACTCACCACATGAATTTCCACACTAGCTGACTCCAGGTTTTCTGAAACGTACGCCAGTGTCCGACATGGCTCCTGAGTGGAGTTTGAGTTCAGACATTCTCCAGAGTCTTTGCCATTCACTCCATCAATATACACATGTGAGGGATGTACTACCTGGCCCTCAACATAAGTACTACTCAATAACAGTGCTACAAGATACAAGACTTGTAGAGCCACCATTTCTTTCACCTTGAGACAATTATTACTCGCTGTCCAGGCAGTATTTCTTGCAACGGTTCGTAAACAATCAGTTTTTCTCAAATGAAAGTCTAAAACTGCTCCCGTGTTTTAAAACAAGCCTTCAGGAAACAAGTGAAAAACTGGACATACTGAAAATCATGGCTGTATGCATGTGCAACAGTTATGTATTGGCAGCTACCTACTTTGTAACCAAAAGTTACATAATAAAGTATACTTTTCTGTAACTTAAAGTTCCGAAAGGAAACTAAAGGAAAGCCCTACACGAAAAGCTTGGCATACAGAAACCTTGCATGACAATCTGTCTAACTACTGTACATATTGGTCACGCGCTATGCTACAGCCATCTCACTGCTATTAAAAGTGAAAGATGACGTGCTGAGTTTGATGCACTGAAGTTTTGTTACCCTTTTTCTTCTTGCTGAATACTGTGAGTAATCCATGGGGCTTTTTATTTGGGAGTACTCTTGTGGTGATTATGGAACAAACCATGTTTACTTTCAACATCTATGGCTACCATTCTGTATGAACAGCACGGCTTACCGGTATATCGTTGGCACTGGTGGATGTTAGGCTCAGTAGACATTCTATGCATACATAATCAGTTTACATTATGCAGGCTCATACTAAAAATGAATTAGTCTGAACTGTAGGGGCACTCTTATGTGGATTGCCAGTTGCCACTACAATGTACACTGCAATATTTTTTCAAAGCCACTAATATTGGGTTTGACCTTCATTGATGAAAATACTAACTTACAGCGATCAAGGGATGCTACATGATACAACGATAATATTGTCCCTTGTATCACTTGGAGATCAAATATGGGGTTGAAACAAGTGCCCTTTGTCCTCCCTACGTATCTCGGAGGGTCCCTTATCGGAGGTTTGTGATTATGGCACAAGCAAATTCAATCACGCGCGGAAAGCACCGCTTGCTCTCTCTTCTCCGAGCTATTGGAGGTAAAGACAAAGCTGCCAAGTGAGAAATATTAATTTTATGGCACCTTCATTTAGCTCTTTAGTAGCATCCAGAAACCGCTACCCAAAGGTCCCCTGTGCCTCTTTTAACAACGCAGGTTATCCTTTATTACGTCATCAACGCATTTTCTTCTTAACCATAGTCATTGTGTGGGTGTGTGTAGCAGTTATGAATATGGAGCGTTACCACGACTACTGCAAAACATTCTTAGATGAGAGTCTGAGATATGGCACACAGTAATCAATTGTAGTTATAGATTGATAGATACAGTTGTGAAAGACTCTGCACTAGCTAGTATATAGCTAATAGTGATGACTGCTCATGGAGCACTGGTTGTTGTGCTTTTGACAATAGTAGTAGTGGCTGCACAGAGAGATACAGAGCTAGGAAAAGTCCCTGCAGTCATCAGCAACACTCGACTTCCTCTGAGCACTACTGATCCCATATCCACTCCCCTGGCTACTAGTGATCTACCTCTCTCTACATCAGTAAGTATTCAACCTTCTCCACTGCCACTGCAGAGGATGGACATGTCTGAATCTGAAACCACCTCAACAAAAACCAAACCAACGGTTGAACCAGTAATTCCCGAAACTAGAGAGGACGAGAGGATTAGTGTGATTGTCAGGGAACAAAAAACACTAATGACTGCATCCAGTGACGCTCTGAATCAAGCTAGTGGATTGGGGATTTTCCCCAGTCAACTGGTGATTCAAACCAGTTCTTATTATACCGAACCAGGCATTGGACCCACTGTGACTGAACTAAGTATGCCTCCTGAGTTTGCAATTGAACTAAGTACATCGATGGGTAAAATTGTGATTAAACCAGAAAATACACAGTCCATTTTACCTACACCAGAGGCCTCGATACCTCACAGTGCAAGTTTTTTCTTGCTACCATACATGACTGAGGGTCTCCCCGTTTCCCAGCCACTCTTTGATACTCTTACACCAACAATTACTACCACTTCATATCAGATACTGCCGATCATTCCCTCGCCAGCTATAGGGGTAACCTCTTCAACACATTCACCAGATCTTCTGCTCCCAACAGGGGTTCCACTGTACACTTTCATTGATGACAATAATTCTATGGCTATTGAAACACCGATGGAACGTCGACCCATCTCCACACATGTCCCACTACTTCTGAGCTCACCAACTATCGATTATTTAGAAATATCTACAGAAGTCGCCCCTGACACTCAAGATATTAGTACCCTTCATCGCATCCCACCATCGTCTGCTCCACATGTGACAAGCATGAGGTCTATGCCAATTAGTACAGCTACAGTTCAAGAAAGATTTACGGTAATGCAGACATCAGTCCAACTGCTCGTACCTGAGCTGAGTCCTTCTCTGTCCCATTCACCACCGACAGCTAGCATCTCAAGTAGAGGTGACTCCATTGCAACTACGATATCAACAGACACAGAAGCTACTTCATCATCCGTAGAAATGCTAGCATCATCTTTAACATTTCTTATGGTGCAATCCACAATTACTCCTGACATTCTAACACCAGTGACTTCACATTCCCTCCTCATCTCTCCGTCCCCTGTTGTAAGACCAAGCTCTTCTAATCAGCCACCAGATCTTTTACTACCAACAGGCGTTCCACTGTATACCTCCATCATTGAAGATTCCCTGACGAGAACACCCACAGAAAATAGTTTGACTTTTACTTCAGTGCCAGTGTTTCAGAGTTTGTTGACAATAACTCCAGAACTGTCTGAACCAGTTGGATATGCTAGTAGCCTTGGGGGTACAATTTCTCTCACTACAGATCAACGATCATTGATCATCTCTACTGAACCCTTACCAACAACTGAAGCATTGATAATGCAGACTCCATTCTTCTTTCAATCAATGGATGTTTATAACAGTTTTGTGTCAACAACAACGACTGTTGAGCCAATGATGCTTTTACCCTTTACGTCAGCTCTACAAGATACAAGCTTAAGCTATGGAACGGTGAGTGTGAACGTAAGTGCTACAGTTCCTACATCATTGCTCGTGCAGTCATCTACGCAACTGTTTACAATTGAACTAAGCCCAACCCCTAGTAAAGTCAATAGTACCTCAAGTATAGGCTCTATGGCAAATGAGTTAGCAACTATGTCATCCTTACTATCTCAGACAACACCCAGTTTGGTGCCACAGAGTGTGTCATCAATGCAATCTCAAGGAATTAGGACAACGAAAATCCCTTTGCCTAGCAATGTTATATCCACACTCTCTTCAACTTTGATGGACACTAACGTCATTTCTGTTGAATCTATGGCAAGCTACCAAACTATGACGTCATCAGCTTCAGAAAGTACAAGTACCAACAGTGCACTATCGCCAAGTGTGACATCGTCTGCTGTAACTCTAACATATTTTGGTGAGAATGTCTCGACTGGTATCCAGTCATCTGCCACAGTAGTGGAGATTGGGCATACTCCTACACCTAGTAGAGCCTTGCCTACACTGTCTTCATCAGAGGTGACTGGGGGACCCACAACAGATGTACCATCATCAGAATTGGCTGTACAACACACTAATTCGAGCTCTATGTCTTCTACATCATTGACTGTATCGTCAAACCCAGTAGCCATCCAGTCACTGAGCGCGTCGCAATCAACCAGCAGGAATTTGGTAACTCAAACAACTGAGTCTGTGTCATCATCTACAGCAATACAATCACGTGAAGAAAAGATTACATCATTGATCACTGAACAAATGACATCACCCGTTGTCCAACCTACCACTACACATCACTCTTCTACCACCACAATATCATCGGCTACCACAATCTCACCACTCTCCAAAGTGACCACATCAACCACTGCCCCCACTCCATCTCCATGCAATCCTTTCTACAGTTACACCCCACCACCGAACAGCATTGTCAGCATCATCCTGGCCGTAACACCACTGGAACTGTCCAAGATTAGAGAGTCGGGCTCTGCTGAGAGATGCCAGCTGCTAGAAGCACTTGTCACTGTGTTCAAGGATGGGTTGATGAGCAAGGAAAGAAGTGTGAGAGAAAGCCGAGTGAATACCAGGAGTAAAGTGCATTTGAACAAGCGTCAGGTACTACCAGAGCCGGAATATACAGCAGTGGTAAGAGTGTGTATGCCTATACTTGCTTGGAGTTGGGCGTCATTCATTGGTGGTTTAAATACCCCGGTCTGCTTCGTGAGAGTATACTGTGCGATAGCACAGTGGTTTGAGGTTTGCCTTTGTTGTATTGTGTTGACATGGGTACTGTTTCCTAGAGTAATATATATAATTGTGTCTACTTTTGTTTTCGTAGATAACAGTTATTGCAGAGGATGATAGTTTTGGTGATAATTTGGTGGATGTCAGGTTTTTCATCCTGGATACATCAGCTCCCACTCACCTTTAGCTGTGAATTCTACCACTGTCACAGAAGCCTATTTACTAGCCAGCGTCCAAGAAATCAGTGGGTTCACTGTAAGGCATGCAATAATGGCACGGCATTCATTAATTCCCCACTTTGTCTATAGATTGTAAGGCAAGCAGAGCCGAGTGAGGATCTCCAAGTTGAAGATTATTCGCCTCCTACAGATGCTAGTGGTCTGTCTAGCAGAGTTGTTGTTGGTTTGATATCAGGGGCAGCAGTTCTGGCTGCACTAGCAGTGATTTTAGTGCTGGTTGCTCTGAAGGTAATCTGGAGGCGACATCACCAAAAGATATTCAAGCTTGAGGTATATAGATCTATAGGACATGCTGACATAATTATGTTACCTTATATACTAATGTTTCACACAGGGCTCACTAGGAACAGCTCGGATCTCCCTGGTTAACCGGACACTTGTTCCAACCGCTTCATTTGAGTATGAGTCCCGGCCTATTGTTCAGCAGCAGGGGTCTGGGTTATCCTCACACGTGACAACTCCTGGGTCTTCACATGAGAACTTAGAGTGTACGTTGAGCTCCTCTGAAGAGGCAGAACCACAGAGTGTCACCAGCATCACTCGCCTGGCACAAACACACCAACAGTGAGCATGAGCTAATATTATTCATTAACGCGTAACAATCTTTATTGCGTTTTCATGACAAAGGATGAAGGCGTTGGACTCTAGACCTGGAAGCAGTGAGCAAGGTGTAACAACCCTGACTCACCTTGCACGCAGTCTGTCCAGGTTTGTTAGTTAGCTAAACTTTGATATTCATGAGGTGTCGTCTTTTTTGTGTGTGACTGTTTGCAGTGGAGAGAGGGAGAGTACAGAAAAATATACCAATGGGGTAATGCTCATCATAATTATTATCGCGGATGTGATTTATTCCTTGGTGTGTTGTCAGGGATTTACAATCTGAAATGATGGAGAGCGTTGCTCATTACAACTCCCGTCAACTCACACGGAGATCTTACCTCCCTCCCCTGAAGCCTCGTTTCCACTACACCACGTCTGACCCCCAGCCACCCCTGCCACAAGCACGGGACCATTCTCCAGTGACTCCTCCTCACTCACCCTCCCCTACCTCCACCTTCCACAGAGTTCCAACTCCTCCTGATGTCACACCAACCAAAACTGAGACTGGCCAGGAGACCACTACACCAAAGTGAGCAAAAGAAATGCTTTCCAGGTCCATTGTTGCATTGACGGCTATAGCATATTTTGTGCAAAACTCACCAAAAAGGTGTGGAGTGCCTAGATGCAATTACTAAGGTTACTGTAGCACTGGCTTAAGCCCACAAATGTATGTATATGGCGAGAAGGAATAGAGAATATATTGAATGATGGTTATTGAGTGCTTTAGTTACTCAATTGCCTTACTGATTCAAGTAGGAAGAAGAAGAGGAGAAGGCGACATCGTTCAACAATACCTGGGAGCAGAGGTGATGAGGCACTGGTGGGACTGCTGATAGAGGAACCGGAGACCAAAATAGATGATCCAGAGCAAGAGCTATGGCTACGTCGAAGGGTAAGAGTTCCTTACGAAAGCATGCCATCATTATTAGGTGAGACACTTTTGTTTGTGTAGGCCACAATGGAGTATCACAAGTACATCTCTGGAGAAGAAAGTAGCTTCCACCCATCATTTCTCTCCTACAAGAACCAGCCACTGCTACCTCCTAGCTCTCCTGGTCTCCCTCTGCTAGTTCAGCATTCGCCACAACCTGACCACATGGACTACACAGTAGGTCATGAGCAACAGTCTCCAGAGGGGACACCTGGGACTAAAGGTGAGACTCTGATAATGGAAGAGGTTGAAGGCTCAGAGAAATCTGATACAAGTTTGCCAAACTCTGAGGCAAATGTCCCGCACAATGAAGACTACGTTGAGCCAGATGCTTTGCCTCCAGTGGAAAGTGAGAAAGGAACTAAAGGGAGGACAAAAGAGCAGAAATGGTATGGGCGACAGCAACGTATTTTCCAACGTAACAAAGTGGCGCCTTTGATGACTTATTCAACTCCATTCTCATCGTCAGTTCCTCCTCACGTTTTGGGGGCTGACCTAGCATGGATGGACACAGTGAATGGACTTCAGCTAATAAGTCTTAAGCCAGTCCAATTATCCAGACCACACCTTCAGCGGCCTCCTCAATACGTTCTCCCGCCACCTCAAGTTTCATCGTCTCCCCTGCATTATCACCCATACCCCTCACATACCCACTTGCAGTCCCCCCCTCGTGTACCTCTGACACACCACTCAATGACAAGACAGCAACAAGTGGGCAAACAACAAGCAATGTTTAGGCAGGAGAGCAGTGGTAGTGGCAGTGAAGAAATTGATGGACCAGAGAGTGTAAATGGAGCGGAACAAGATTTCACTCAATGCACGAAGGAGGAGGAAATTAGTACAGCGCCGCATGATGCATCTCTTACAGCACCAAAGGCTTTGACAACTGACAAAAGCGTCATCCATAAAATGATAGGAGAGGTAAAGCTGTCCTGTTGCTATCATTGGTGATTCTTACAAAGTGTATTTCTACAGGCATTCAGTACTTCGGCTATCCAAAAGACTTCAACTCCTGCCCAGGAAGACAGAGTGGATGTGAACAAAGACAGGAGAAATGCATTTTCTCAGATTTCAGCTCACAAGACTCATCAAGTCATCACAGCGCCAGTTCAGCCGATACGTGCAGCTACCTTTCCTGGGAATGTTCAGCTAGGTGAAACTTGGAAGCCCAGTTGTTCCCCAGTACATAGTATTATCACGAAATACTATGTTATGCATAAAAAGGCTGTGGGTGGTTTCACGAGTGTGTCTGTGGTGCCTTGGGTGCAGCACTTTTCGTGATATACATGAGGAAACACACCCGAAACCCTACAGTTAGTTATTACTGGTGCTTTTCTCTTTATAGTATGGCCCTATCCTGCACCGCAAGTACTCCAACCTTCCACGATGTCTCCCCACCAGAACTACTGCAACTACCATCCAATCTACAACTACCAACCTCATACTCAAGTATAATAGCTAAGTTACGAACATGATATTGAGCCCTATGCACTCGACAATTTTGCAAGCATAAATAAACATACATTGGTTCAAACACCACGCACAATGGACTTGCCTATATTTTGCTCACAAAAATTAAACTAAACTCTCCATTTCGTAGGATTATCACTTGTATGGAGCCCCAATCCAACCCTCTACTACATCTACACCTCGTTACAAGAAACAGAAGTTTGAACAACACTAGCTTTATGGAGATTCACTACTCTGGTGTTATTAATTTTTGTACTCTATTGTGTTGATCCCAGATGGCAAAACACACACTCAGATGCACTTGGTACACACACTGAGTCACACACAAAGTTAACTATAATTATTGCACATGTTCAGAAATAGAACAGGTT